TAAAAGAATATGATTGCTCAAATGGAATTTTTAATATTTACTGATTTATAGTTCCTATTTTAATTAGAAAGAAATGTGCCATAATTTTTTATCTAAATAAAAACAGGTTTACACAATATAATTAATTAATGAAAATAGCTGTTCCTACTTTTTCATAATAGAATAATTAAGCATTTAAACAAAATTTTGTGGCGACTCATCTTATATGTGAATACCTGCATTTATTTACTTAAGTATCATTTAATTTACAAATTTATTTTTCATAGATTTCATATGCGTACTATTTTTGTTGAATTTATATTCAACTAATACTTTTTATGTCTACAGCATTTTACTAATTAACTGATTAAGTCTCGATTTGTGTAATAACGATGCTTATTGAATAAAATATTTTTGTAACCAAAGGTATAACTGTTGTAGAATATTATTATAATAAAAAATATTGTCATTTTTTATGGGTAATAACAATACTGCTGTGAATGCATTTTGCTACAAATTAAATGTAAATACATATTTAAACGCTTGTTTTGTTTTTAATAGTCCCATACCTACAAAGATATCCTTCTTTAAAGAAGGAAGAAATAATTTTTCCTGATATTTTACTTAATATAATATGGAATTTTTAGGTAATGCTGAAAGATAAATAATTAACTGTTAGTTTTTAATTTAAAACGTGTTGTTGCAATATATATTCTAATTATATATCTTTTTTAAGGAATTTCAAATTGTATTGTAAAACAATTCAGATGAACTTTCAGTTAAGTTTTAATGAAATGTTTTCTGATGTGTATTGTATTACATATTACTTTTTGTCATTTTGTTTCCTTTATAAAACTGTAGAGTAATTTTATTGACCAAGGAAGGATACACACTATTTGGGCAGCTGTTAAACTGTATAAGACTAAAGAATCACTTCCGGTTGTATTTTTAATGAAACCTTGAAATTATTAAAGAAAATTAAATTAAAGAGAAATTTTCGCCAGTTTATATCTTTACGTACCAACCATGACCCCAAAGATCATTGCAAAAATTCCAGAAAATACCATGTTTAGCGAATAAGCGCTTGCAAACTTGTCTGTGTATATCTCGGTTAAAATTAACAAGTTTAAGACATGAATACAACACCTCGCACCACCCAATAATCCGCTTAAAATTACCGAGAACCAAAACGAATTGATTTCTGTAAATGCTGAAAAATCTCTTTAAGAATTAAAAGTTTAAAATTGTCTCAATCATCGTTTTCTTACCAATCCTGAAAATAACTGTAAGGATAGCGTTAGCCAAGTAAATTTCAGCAGTTTTAATTTTATAAAAAGCTGTTATCAAACTTATTCCTATTTTTACTATCAAGTCTGTTGCAAAAAAGGTGGTCATCATTAGTGTTACATCGCTATTGTTGAAACCTTTGTTTAGAAGAAATACAGGAAGCAAGGACATTACAGTCATTTCGGATGTCAAAGAGATGCTGAGTGCAAAAATTATTATCCAATAATTAAGGTCTTTTAAAACGGAAAAGTCTACTGAGTTCCACAAGGACGATCTACAGAAAATAATAGTCTTTGATTGCTGGAATGAGAAGTTAATGTTTAAGAGGTTGTTTGCATATTAAGTCACACCGCAATTGGGGTGGGGATCTTGAGGTAGCGAGACGGTGTATGACAATAGGGAGAAGGGGTCTCGGGATAACGTTACGTTTTCATTGATATAATTGGCGGATATTTTTAAAATGACCATAAATAAACTTATTATAAATTTTTTTCTCATTTTTTCCTGTATAATAAATAAAATAAAATAATCAATCACTAGCAAAGAGATACAAATGTCAGCGTGACGTGACAAGGAGTAAGGAGTGGTAATGGGTCTGAGAGACGAAGGGAGGAGGTCCAAAATGTGGTAAAAATAGCGTGACGTAATATACGAACGACTCCTAATGTTGGTATGTTGCTCGTTAGGTTATTATTGACTTATTTACGTTAGAGAAATGCTAATTTATTTACTTTTAATTTTGAATTATAAATGTTGATTTTTTTAATCAGAGAATTTTTAATTAATTAAAGGCAGAATTTATACACTTTTCGTAAGGTACTTACTTTTGTGTTCTCTTTCGAAGTTCCACATAAATTACTGCATTTCCAAAGCTCGCAATTGAAGTTAACGATTTTGATAACGATTTTTTCTCTACTGATAATATTTCAGTTAGATTTTCATTCAACAATTCTCGCGATTCAAATTCATTTGATGCAGTTTCGGAAAATTCTTTATTGCTTCGATGATGTTTCTTCTTGTGTAAAGAAAGCTCTGAAACTATATGAGCTAATAGAAATGTATTTTCAAGTGAATAACACAGATCTACAAATTAAAACTTTTATGTTTTTCCTTTTACTTTTAATGATTATAGGGGGTAATATGTGTAGTAAAACGAAATACTTAAAAATTGCATTTAAAAAATATTTTCCATAATATACTGATTTCGAGACTTATTCGGTTAATGAGTTAAAATGTTACATACTTGCATGCAAACACATGTAAAAATAATATCCGTTTTGTTTGCAGGTAGGGTGAAACGACGCAGTAAAAAGGGTAAGTTATATAGTTATAAAGAAAAATATTTTTTATTTTCATATGAGTACAATAATATGAAAAAATGTTGAAATCTTTTGGTTCATTTTCGGATGGTATATTACTTAATTTTTAATCGAGCCGAACACAATTACAAGAGTCCATTCTTAAAAATTTCGGTTGTACCGAACTTTTTTTTAATTGTTATGTTTAAATTTAAGTAGTTCAAACCTAGTCAGAGATTTCATTGTAGATCTGTATTATTTTTTATATCTTACAATTCGGCGTTTCGTTTGAGGTTGGTATCTTCTTCATATGCCATTTAACAGGATGTAAAACGAATGCCGCGAAAAAACTGTTGAAACTAAAAGCGGCCACTATCGCTTGGGTTCCTCTAAATCCGTAGTTGTCCATTAGCAGTTGAGCAATCGCAGGATAAATCATTAATGTTGCTCCCACTATTGTATGGCAAATTGCTATTGCAAACGTTTTCCTACTATCAAAATATTCGTTTAATGCTGTAAAAGCTGATGGTATAAGCAAACCATTTCCAATAGCTAGAATAATATTTTATAGATTAGAGGAGCGATTACAGAGCAAGTACTTGACAATAATATTTTCGGAAAAAATTTTGAAATCGATTCAAAACCACCGGATTTATGAATTTTTTAAAAAATTTTTGCTATCTCTGTCTTTCTTTCACTATTGAGAAAGTGTTGTACTTTTGTATTTTCGTAGATATACAGTGTAAACTCTTTATAACGTCACTCGATTTAACGACAAACTCCTTAAAACGTCGAAATTGCTTGACTTTCGTTGGTTTACATTGTTTTCTATACAATATCACACTCCATATAGCATCACGCTCACTCTATTTAACGACAACAATGCGACATTATAAATCATTGAGCAGTACTTTCTAAGTTGCCGAAATAGATAAGAACTGCAGCTGTGTACGTTGTTGAAGAAGACGATCCCGTCCCTTCACCAAGCATCAAACAAGCACTTGATGCAGCGAAACTATTAAAAAAATACTTTTTATATAATCAAATTGATCCAGCAGTATCTCAAGATATGAGTAAGATACGTAACAAAATACAATTAAAATATTGGAGCAGCAAAAAACATCAGACGAAGATAACAGGCTATACGCAATGTATGAATAATAATGTTCGTGTGCAAAATGTGTACTATATTGGTAAATGCATATTATTATAGAATAGTAAAATAATATCTTTTATTTCTCTCCATTTAACGACCATTCTTTATAACGCCGAAAAATGTTCAGTCCCTTAAGTGTCGTTATATAGAGTTTACACTGTATATTCAAATTTCATTTTTACGAATCAATTTAACAGAAAAGGTATAGTCAGATATCCATTTATTAATTGTTTGATGATTTTAATTAAAAATTAATGGCACTTAGAAATTTTACTAAATTAAATAAAAGTAGTTCCTCTTTTCATTGCACTTTTACGTTATTAATTACCTTGGAATACTCCGTAACTTAGTATGAGGAATTGCAAATCGGTGACAAATATTGCGGCGAAATTTCCACTACTGTTTAATAATGCCCCAATGAAAGCAACAGTTCGAAATGATACTTTTTGCAAAAGAACATTCGTAATTAATCCTGTCAAGTGAAAAACTGCGCCGTATGTTGATGTTAACGTAGTCGTCGCACTCAATTCGTCGTGATGATTTGATAAAAACGGCCCAAATATCGAGGCAATACTTACAGCAGGGCCCAACGACAATATCTGATAATTAGATGATAGGTAAATAGCTTCTAGCAAACATAAGTTAGAGACAGCCATAAATAAAATGATATGTTGATAGAAGAATATGAAATAAAAGACTAGATTTCGCGAATGTTCGATATCTAGGAAGGATGGAAAAAGTGATTCAGACATCAACTAAAGAATAGCGTATTAAAAAAAAATTACGTCTGTGCTGGCGAATAGTTAATTTAGAAATTGGAAAAAGACTGTTTGGACACGGATCTGCATGGTGCGAAAAAGTTAGAAGCGTTTGAAATGTGGTGTTATCGGAGGATGATGAAAATATTGTGTGTAGAAAAGATTAGAAATGATGAGGTAGGAGAAAAAAAGGTGCTTTAGATGTTTGAATGTCAATGAGGATAAGGAGAGATAGAATGGTAGGACAGTTTCTGGGACATGAAGGATTACATATTAGAGGCAGAGAAAGTAGTAATGAGGGGAGAGTTAAGGATGTGGGATGTTCTAGTTCTTGAGAAATGAGAAGATTGATTCGGGATAGGAAAGATTGAATGTGTGTCTTTGACGTGTGTCTTCAGATCGATGGTGACGACCCTATGAAAATGATGATGACGATAATGAAGATGATGAAAATATCGTGCATAGAAATGATGAGGTAGGAGAAAAAAGGATGCTTTAGAAGTTTGAAAGTCAATGAGGAAAAGGAGAGATAGAATGGCAGGACAGTTNTTCAAACCTAGTCAGAGATTTCATTGTAGATCTGTATTATTTTTTATATCTTACAATTCGGCGTTTCGTTTGAGGTTGGTATCTTCTTCATATGCCATTTAACAGGATGTAAAACGAATGCCGCGAAAAAACTGTTGAAACTAAAAGCGGCCACTATCGCTTGGGTTCCTCTAAATCCGTAGTTGTCCATTAGCAGTTGAGCAATCGCAGGATAAATCATTAATGTTGCTCCCACTATTGTATGGCAAATTGCTATTGCAAACGTTTTCCTACTATCAAAATATTCGTTTAATGCTGTAAAAGCTGATGGTATAAGCAAACCATTTCCAATAGCTAGAATAATATTTTATAGATTAGAGGAGCGATTACAGAGCAAGTACTTGACAATAATATTTTCGGAAAAAATTTTTGAAATCGATTCAAAACCACCGGATTTATGAATTTTTTAAAAAATTTTTGCTATCTCTGTCTTTCTTTCACTATTGAGAAAGTGTTGTACTTTTGTATTTTCGTAGATATACAGTGTAAACTCTTTATAACGTCACTCGATTTAACGACAAACTCCTTAAAACGTCGAAATTGCTTGACTTTCGTTGGTTTACATTGTTTTCTATACAATATCACACTCCATATAGCATCACGCTCACTCTATTTAACGACAACAATGCGACATTATAAATCATTGAGCAGTACTTTCTAAGTTGCCGAAATAGATAAGAACTGCAGCTGTGTACGTTGTTGAAGAAGACGATCCTGTCCCTCCACCAAGCATCAAANCTCCACATGAATTTGTAATGTCTAAGGTCTGTATGTTCTTACTCACGGTTAAGGTAAGCATTCGTGCATTTACCTTTGTATGTATGAATGCATGTACGTTATTGTACATAAGTTCATTACACAATGTTGTAATTCATTCTTTGTCGAGGTTATTATTAGGTGTACGGTGTACAATGTACATAGAAGATTCTTATTGTCTGGCAAGTTTGAATGAAGTATGTAAACTATTGTAATTTATAATGACTCATAAAACTCGTGCTTAAACTCTTGTTCAACTACTTAAAGTTAGTGCTGGTCTACACTGTGCGTTTTCACCGGGATGTTTTAAAGAAATCGTGCGTCCCATGCCACCAGCACCACATCGCTAAGGCCTATATTCTGGCTGTTTCATGTATGAAGTTACGCGGTCACTGTTGCCATAAAAGTTTGATAGTAGGCCTAAGTAAGGACCTTATATATGAGCGTTTACATTAGTGAAACTTCAACACAATTAATGCATGCTATTGCAGTAAGTTGGGCATAGAGAAATGAATGCATGAACTGTGGTGATGCAGGATTTTGCAATTCATTAGAACGATCAAAATTGGCAAAGTCCGCAATGAATAAAACGTCGTTGATAATGGACGTATCTTCTTTCTTGTTTCCACTTGGGACTGTAGTCATTTGAATTTTACAAAAAATTTCTTTAAATTTTAATTATTGTTTACTATTCATGTATTAAAAAGGCCATAATAGCCGACTGATGGCCGACAACTGCAACAATTAGAAAAGAATGATGGCCGACACTACGTCATAGTGGAGCAATAAAAATGGCCGGGGGCAGGCGGAAGAACTAGTATAAATAAAAGATCTTACATATTTGTGAAAAATCATGCTATACCGCTGATGTTTATTTATAATTAGTTTATTAGTTAAATGTGACAGCAGACTTCAATCTAATCAAAAATTTGCATTGAGAAAATCCTTCGTAAATGAGGAAACTTTACAGTTACCTACAGGGGTAAAATATACATGAGAGTATTGTTGAAATTATGTGAGCATTTATGAAGTTTCGTCGTAATGCGTCTCTGAAGAATGACCTAAAATTCTGAGTAAGTCAAACCCTCAAATTGTTAAGGAAAGTCTACTTGTTTTTTTTTTCGAAACGATATCTAAAAACATGCATCTTAGTTTCATTACATTTAATAATTTACATTAATACCTAATATTTTTTTACTGCTTGAATTTTTAATATACTGTTTAATTACATTTAAGCGATTTTCAATTTTGTTAAATAATCGTTGTATTCCATTTAATCTTTTTTAATGACAATTAAAAACCCGCTAGTATTTGACGTCAAATATACCAGATTTTCGTACGAACCTATATTAGTTAAATGATGGTGCACTAAATATTTTTTAAAAAATATACAATTGCACCACTTCAACGCACTATCACTACCACATGTAACTAACAAGTAATCTTGCATAAACATATTATTTACATAGACACCTACCAGAAGTCTGGGTGGATAAAACAATTAATTATTCAACAATTTCTTATACTGCTACGTTTATTGGTAATATTTTCTAATGTTTATTGCAAATGTACATGGGGAATATTTATTAGCTTTACAAATAGAAAAAAGTATATACAATTTTATAATTTTTTTTAATAACACTTTTATTAAAACTACATAATAAAGTTAATGAGGAAAAGGAGAGATAGAATGGTAGGACAGTTTCTGGGACATGAAGGATTACATATTAGAGGCAGAGAAAGTAGTAATGAGGGGAGAGTTAAGGATGTGGGATGTTCTAGTTCTTGAGAAATGAGAAGATTGATTCGGGATAGGAAAGATTAGATGTGTGTACTTAAAGTGTGTGTCCAGATCGATGGTGACGACTCTATAAAAATGATGACGATAATGAAGATGATGATGATAGTGACGTAAATAAATTTATACGAGTGACAGGTAAAACTTCTCACCACGAATAGTGTTGACGAAAAAACCACTAAATAGCCCCATCCTCCATCAGGTACCATGGAATTGTATTTTATTGCCTTGCATTCATGTGGGGAAGCCATTGTATTTTTTTTGCTGATGAAAGTAAAAACGCTGAAAATTAAATGACGCAATATAATAAGTAAGGAGCTTTTATTAATGAAAATTCAATAATTATTGTTAAAATTCAGCAACAGATAAAGTTGTACTAAGTAATTATGCGGTAGTTTTAATTGTTTACGGGTAGGTATATTTTTCGATAGAAGTAAGGTAAAATGTAATAAATCAATATGGATCATTCAGTGCGGTTGAATATGAATTAATAGGCTTGGCAGTCAACAGTTGTGTAATAATAATTGTTCTATAAGTTGAAAATTAATTTATAATGCATTCGTATTTTTCTTTTATTGAGAAAATTATCAAATAGCTTTTCAACAAGGTTGCAAAGCATTTTAATGGTTTTAACAAAGAGTATTTTATTTTTTTGTTCTTAAAAAATGTTCTCTTGNTATTTTCTAATGTTTATTGCAAATGTACATGGGGAATATTTATTAGCTTTACAAATAGAAAAAAGTATATACAATTTTATAATTTTTTTTAATAACACTTTTATTAAAACTACATAATACAAAGTAAATACTATTTAACAGGAAATTGAAAGAATTAAAACTATTTTTTGACATTTTTAAATACGAAGCGCTTATAAAGTAATTCTAAAGTCCATGTTATTGCACAAAATAAACAAACAAACGTCAAGACATGAAGAACCATGGCATCGCTTTGCGTTTTGTATTTTACCAAACCTGAAATTAATTAGAATAGTGCATATTGGTATTCTGCTTCTATTTTGATATTTATTGATTAATAATAGTTAGAAATTTCAGAGTAATTTCTTTAGCAGGGGCATCATTACTTGTATGGGAGCCATGGTAGAATCTAGGGCTCATTATGATCTAGCTAATATGGAATATTTGGGAATTTATTTTATTTTCTTACATGTATGTCGATAGACCGAACGAAACACAATCTTATAAGCCCAAGCTCAATTAATGAATAATTAGAAATCTTTTAATTTTAATTTGATTTAGAGCCCGTTGCATATGTTTTTAGGGGTCCCTTTGTTCAGAAATAAATTAAAGACAAATTATAAAATTTCTATATAACGTGTAATTTTTAATTTTTACGAGAAATGCATAACTGAAATTTGGGGGCACCATGAGCCAAGAACCCAATGCAAAGTGCATCGCTTGCATCACCTTAATAGATCGTCCTCCGGTTGTACTACTGTAATGAAGAAAATTTATGCGTATAAATTCTGAAAATGGTTAAAAAGGAGTCGAAATTATGAATCATTTCCTTAGATTTCCAAAAACATATTTCCTCAAAACATATGTTACATTGTAACACCCTATCGCCCTTTTTATATGATAAAACCTTAAATTGGTTTGAATTACTGTAAAGTTTCAAATTTCGTGCGTCTAAATTTGAAAATTGGTTAAAAAGGAATCGATACCTACTATGAATCATTTCTTTTGATTTCCAAAAACATATTTTCGTCAAAACACATGTGACTTGACGACACCCTACCGCCCTTTCATATCATACAAACTTAAATTGGCTTGAACCATTGTAAAGAGTGAACTTTTGCGCGTCCAGATTTTAAAAGTGGTTAAAAACAAGCCGAAATTATGAATCGTTTCCTTCGATTTTAATTCAATTCTACAACTGACTGTTTCCCTCATATAAATATGCATATTTAGTCGAAAATTACCCATAATTGATCCCATAATAATCGAAGAAATTCCAGTGAAAACCATGCAAAGGGAATATGCGCTCGAAAATTGTTTGGGGTAAAGCTCTGCAAGTACCATGGGGTGAGAGAGTTGTATAATGCATCTAGAGCTGCCCAGGAAAGCGGTCAGTACAATCGTCCACCAGTACAAATTAATTTCAGTAAATACTTAAAAAAACAAATAACGGAATTTATTATTTTAGCTTTAGTTTTCTTAAAACTAAAACAATGGTTGACATAGTTGGAACTATCAAAATTGACAAGTCTGCAATTAATTATCTGTGAGAGTAGAGGTATCTTCTTTCTTGTTTCCACTTGGGACTGTAGTCATTTGAATACGCGCTTATTAAGTTAGGAAATGCTTCATGAGTAGTACAAAGAGTTAACCGAATAATAGTAAGCGGTACAGCAATTAAAGGCTGCTTAGGTACGTAAAAGATCAGGGTCGACTTTATAACTGCTTGGTTGGAATTATATCCTTAAACAAGCTTCTTTACTTTCTAAATTCCTGAGAATGTTGAACTTTTTTTAAAGTCCGATGCTGACAACATGCTGAAATTCTTATTGTCTGCATCTCTTTCCGTTACACAATCGGTGTAATGTTATTCCTTTTTCGTCATTAGTGTCCGCTGCAATTCCTACCTGACATCTCTTTTCTATGTTTACGATATTCCTTATAACGTCTGCCATGAGTAAATGTAGGCGTTCTATCAGCAACCGCTCTAGTCTAGTTGGTAAGTTGAAAGAAGACAGTAAATGCAAGTTTTATTGCAGACTATGCCAATTTTGAACGTTCTAACTATAGATATATGTTTTACTTTCTTACCTATTCGTAATGCAACGGTGATGGCAATATTACCCAAGAATACGTATCTGCTTTTGAATTTCCAAAATAATGTAATCACGCTGATAATAATTTTTGTTATCAAATCGGACATGAAATAAATGGTCATCAATAAAGTGATTTCGTTATCAGTGAAACCAACATTTGACAAAAAAATCGGCATTAGGGCCATTAAATTCATCTCGGATGTAATACAAAGTGATAAACCTACAGCTATATTCCAATAGGTTGCTTCCTTGAGAATAGAAAGATCAAACAGGTTTTGTAAGAAACATCTAAAAAGAGATTTTGTGTATTTTTATTTATTTTAACATTATTTAATCATTATTACTGTTTTGTAATAGTTTAATTGACAGGGTGACATCTTTTAAAATTTGTACTTTCTCTACTTTTTCTTACCCTTTTCTGTTTTCTTGTGGCGTGGCTTTATGGCAATTGGTTAGAGATTCGAGCGATTGAAAATGTTTTTCCTTATTATCAAAAGATTTTTCACTAGCGTTACTATCAAGTAATTGATGTGATTCCATTTCATTTAATGTTGACGAATAAGAGGTAGACCCAGTGGTGTGTTCTCCTAAAATTATATGTATGTACTATGAAGAAACAAACAACTGTAATACTGCATACGTGCCTTTGGATTTTGCCTATTGAAAGATAAACCTTTGTGTACGTACGAAAAATGTTTGAGAATTGTGAATACTGAACGTGAAAAATTGGGTGAATATTTTCAGTCGAAAACATTTAGTGTGGATTTTAAATAAGCTATACGTAGTGTGGTGAAATTAATTTTATGTTGTCGGTTTCGTTTGTCGTGGTCGTGGTGCAGAAAAATTCAGCAAATTGACTTCCCAACAAACTATAAATCTGGTAAGTGACTAAAATGTTTCGGTATAATGTAGACTATTTAATGGAAACTTATATTTCTTCTAATTCTTCGATTTGTTCATGTTCCTCTGCATGGGTGAATTGTTTCATATACCTAACTTAATTCTGATTTTTATTTTTTATTAAATGATGTAGTAACGGTTCACTATGATCCACCACCAAGGGTTGCTGAATTTTTAATTAATAAAGAACGCTGTTACTGTGAACCGGAACTAACTACATTCTCAAATAAAGATTTCCTTAAAGAAATTTATTAGAAAAGAAACGAATTTGCGAACTTTTTTTGATTTTATNACAATAATAAACAATCCCTTTCATATATTGTCTGCGAGATAAATTAATTATAGTTTGGACAATAAATATTTCACGATCAGGAAGTTATCCTGCCTAGGCACGTATATGTATGCAATAACAGAAAGGATATATTTATAAAATAGTTCAAACTCATTCGTTCTGATCAAGGTTTCTCATTTATCTATTTATAAAGAGAAAAATGTACATATCTAGGTACAACTCTAGTTGTCCGCAAGGAAAGGTGTTGTTCTTCACTGAATGAAACAACGGAACCTCCTCCGATTTACTTTCAATTGGATTGTACGATCACTGGAATATTAAAAGCAAACTACAAGGAAATTTTTCTTACTTTAATTTTGGCAAATTTATTAATTAGGCCTTTATAATTTAAGTAAGTTAAATGGAGTATAGATAAGGCATTTCTTAACTAGTTTTTAATCTTTAAAATGTCAATTTGCGAATGAATGTAATAAAATAGCATAACCCGGCCAAGTTTGGACAAATGGTAATCTTTTTTGATTGTAAAACGAACTAACATAAAAAAAACCATTTAGGCCCTTTCTGGCTACACTTCATTTACTATCAACTTTCATTGAGATTTCTACCTTTACAATGGTCTGATATATCTTCCACACTATTGCTCGAACATACATTGCCATTTCAAATTTACAAGTTGAAGGTTAAAACCGCTAACACGTAATCAGTTTAAGATTTAAATTAATTACGTAGTGCATTACATACATTCCAACTTGGGAACGCAACATATGTAATTGGTTCAAATTTTTTATTTCCACAATCGTTTAAAATTTTTTCCGTCCTTAATTACTGCTATTACATAAAAAAAATAATATTTCTTCCAGTTTTTTACCTTTGTTTAATAAAACTTTTTTCATATGCCATTTCACTGGTTGTAAAGTTAAAGCTCCTAAAATTGTGTGTAGACTGAGGGCTGCGAATATCGCTTGGGTCCCTCTGAATCCAAAATTGTCCAGCATCAGTCTTGTAAAACCAGGATAAATCATGCTGAGTAGGGCCACAACAGCCTGGCATACGGCAAAAACGACCATTTTTCGGTGATCGAAATATTCGTTCGTAGCTACAATGACAGCGGGCACAATTAATCCTGTACCAATGCCTAAAATGACCAAAAAAAGCATAATTTTGTTACGAATTTAATCAATATTTTTTGTATTGAAACACCTTGTATATCGTTTTATTTTTATGTGGACACCAAGTTTTGTAGAGTTATCGGCATCTAATATCGAGTCATTCAAGAATTATGGTCATTTATATCTCTATTAATGTTCTTTCAGTTTCATTACGATTTTTGGATTCTATTAAAGGAGATATGTATCTATTCCGAATTTTAAAACGTACCACGTATATATCCACCCCCACAATAAAAATTTTTAAAAATCTAGGAACATATTAGCCGTAATATCCTTTAGCATAGTGGGAATATTTAGTCTTTAAAATACGTGTAAGTAATCATCTACATTGTAGATCAAAATGTTTTTTTTTTCAATTTATGAAATATAGTTGTAAATTCTCTGTCAAGATTTAATTAAAATCATCCCGATCCTTTGCTTGGGGTTCCTACAAGGTGCCGGACCGGGACGATTTAGTTCTCTCGCCTCATATGTCCATGCTCCGGTATCATCCTCCAGGCGGTTAAAACCAAATCGTTGTCCCACAGGCGAGGTGACGAAAAATCACTTTGAATAAATTGGCGGATATTTTTAAAATGACCATAAATAAACTTATTATAAATTTTTTTCTCATTTTTTCCTGTATAATAAATAAAATAAAATAATCAATCACTAGCAAAGAGATACAAATGTCAGCGTGACGTGACAAGGAGTAAGGAGTGGTAATGGGTCTGAGAGACGAAGGGAGGAGGTCCAAAATGTGGTAAAAATAGCGTGACGTAATATACGAACGACNTCTCTCGCCTCATATGTCCATGCTCCGGTATCATCCTCCAGGCGGTTAAAACCAAATCGTTGTCCCACAGGCGAGGTGACGAAAAATCACTTTGAATAATATGTTCACAGTTCAAGTCTTTTTACTGATGACTCCTTGATGATCTCAAATCAACCTTTTCCCTCACTTTGTACCGTCTCACTCATAAATTCAAGTGGTGACCCCACGAAGAAGAGCAAACACAACTTTGAACTGTACGGGACATTAAAAATGCGTCTTAATAACCGTTTCGTCGTTTCCCAAAGACCTGGCTTGCTACTGAAAACATCTCTTTTTTGCATTTTCGCATTCTCTACACCACGACGTTATAAGTAACAAGCTTCTTAACGATTGAGATAACATTTTCTTTCATCAATCTCATGCACACGTAGAAGCATAGTAGTAGAAGTCCCTCCGCATTACGTCGGAAGGTTTGGGGGAAGGCCCTCTTCATCCTCCTTTCAGGAATCGTGGGAACGGGAGGATGGCGGATCAGGTGAGAAAGATGAAACGGACGAAATGTAGACAGAAGAGAATGAAAGATTATCTGAGGAATATTACTGCCCCAGCAGTTGCCTATGTGATCCAAGGAAACCATAGAAGGACTTGGACCCGGAATCGAACCGGCGTCCTCCCGAATACTAAGCAAACGATTAAACCTTTAGACCATGCCGCTTGGTAGAAGAAGAGAATTTGGAGATCCTGCACATGGAGCGGCATGACCTAGAGGTTTAGACCATTGCTTAGCATTTGGGAGGGACCGGTTCGATTCAGGGTCCGTCCGCCGTGGTCCAAGTTTTTCCTTGGGTCACTTAGGCAACCATCACCAGTTGAAGCGGCAAAAAATCATTCGAGTACAAGTAATAAGCCTGATAAATGTCTAATCGATTTCACTTTTTATATTTCTAATAAAAAGGCAGAGATCTCGTCACCAGCCTCACAATAGGTCCAGGCGTGTTCCCGGGAAGAAACATACACCAAAAATTTTGATTATTTTGTAGTTAAGCATTGCGTATGTACTTTGAATCAGAAATCAATTTTATCTAACGTATTTTCCAAGTGAAAAAGTATCAGTAGAGATACTTGATGGAAATGTATGATACCAGGTTCGAATGCGAATTGTTACTACATGTGGCAGTGCTTTTAAACAATAATAAACAATCCCTTTCATATATTGTCTGCGAGATAAATTAATTATAGTTTGGACAATAAATATTTCACGATCAGGAAGTTATCCTGCCTAGGCACGTATATGTATGCAATAACAGAAAGGATATATTTATAAAATAGTTCAAACTCATTCGTTCTGATCAAGGTTTCTCATTTATCTATTTATAAAGAGAAAAATGTACATATCTAGGTACAACTCTAGTTGTCCGCAAGGAAAGGTGTTGTTCTTCACTGAATGAAACAACGGAACCTCCTCCGATTTACTTTCAATTGGATTGTACGATCACTATATTTATATGTGTTATGACTTCAGGCTAATTCTATTGTAGCAATTCATATAGAGGAAAACAATGTCTATTTATATACAGGGTTATTTACGTTATTCGACACGAAAGAATTCGGCTAGGTTCCTAGATTTCTAAAAATATTTATTGTGGGGGTAGATAAGCATCTATAAGAGGTACGTTTCATAATATACAGGGTGTCCGAACAACACAAAACGTATCAAAGTTGTGTTTTTTTAAATGGAACATATAGTTTTTCATTTTTGGGTTGTATGATCAAAATAACAGAGAGTTTCATTACGGTTTACCTCACTTAAACCCTAAGGATTTTGAAATATTTTGAATTTTGTGAATGTGTAGTAACAAATTTAACTTTTAAATTCTCAAGGTGTATTACCACTTTTTAAACAACCAAATTTAAATTGCAGCCTGTTAATTGACTATGTTTTGTATCACCACTGTTAAAAATTGACTTATGTATACAGAATGTCCAAAAAGTATGATTAAATTAATTAACCTCACAGTAAAAATTTAAATATCTAGAAACGTAGACGTAATCTTTCGTGTCGCATGACGTGAATAACCCTGTATATAGTTATCGATTAAAGGGTGTATGATCCAAAGAAAACTATGAACACGAAATCCTTTTATTTCACAACGTTTTGTGTTTTAGTAACACTTCATCAGGCTCTCATAAAATAAATGTTCTCAACAGTCATAAAAGGTATTGTATCTTTGTCGTATCTCACTCAATCTTCTTATATCAGTCAAGTCCAGTCACATGTTTAGCCATATTAATCACCGAGTGTTATATTTACATACACAGACAATATATGAGCTGATTTTTGGTCAGCTTTATTGAAATATGTCTAATTAACATATCGAAACAAAAATTTAACTAAAAAATCGGTAAGGCGTTAGTATGTGAGTAAAAAACAAAAGAGTGTTGTGAGTTCGTTTTCGCTGATATGAAGTTGATCAAGCAGTATTAGACTATCTAAGCGACAACAGGTGTGGTAAAAAATGTTTCTTCCACGCATAGGAAGTGTAAAATTTAAATATTTTTCATTCTTTTGTGCGATATGTAAAATCGTTATAAAATAATGCGGAAAAAATTTTAACAGTTAATTTTATAGTATGTGTGTAAGGTATTTACTTTAATTAGTTTGTGACGCGCGTAAAGATATATTTCCGAATAGATTAACAAATAATAGGAAAATAACCATTATTATATTTGAAATAATCAAAACAATATATTTGAGGTACTAAAAATTTAAATTCATTTTCAGAGTCCTTATTTTCGGTCAAATTGTCTCATTTTAGTTGAATACAATAATCATACTAAAAATGGTCATGTACTATATAGACAGCACATTTAAAAATCGAATAAATATGGCAATTACATATTTATTTAGCTTATTATCTTGTACATTTAAACATGTACTGTTTTTAAATGAATGTGCATACATTTCCTCATATATTGCTATGGACTATTATAAGTTTTTTGTAAAATATGCACCTGTACAAGACATCCTCGTATAAATTAGTAACTATCAATTTATTTTGAAAAATCTTATACTAAGGAGGGGCGGCTTTAGGGAGCGGCGAGCTGGGCGACCGCCCGGAGCCTCGCTCTTACAGGGACCCCACACATTCGCATAGAAAAATGTTAAGTGCTAATGTTCATTTGAATTTCTGAGTCTTAAAAAGAGCTGCAAACATCATTTTTGAATTCCTGATTCATTTGGGCTAGATTAAGAAACCTAAAAGGATTTTTGGCTACTCGATTTGAAAGGGGTGAAAAAAATACTTTTCCGATTCTTTCGTAATAGTTTAAAGTTCATAATAAAGCCTTTAAAAAACTTGAGTTATTAACATTTGCTTTACAGCTACAATCAAAGTTAATTTTCTGCTTATACAAATATGAGGACAAGACATGGGATGTAGGGGGCGGGATTAAAGATTCTTAATTTAATTATACCAAAGGGTATTAAGACCATATTTCACGTAAATATGATGACAAATAACAATGTTTTATAACCCCATAGGGGTTGAATTTCGAGATATTCTTCATTATTCCTTGTATATATCATAAAGGAAACTTCTGTGCAAAATTTTAGCTATAGGTTGAAGGGTTTAATTGTTGAGTTCCATATCAAGATTACGACCGAATTTTTGTTTAATTTTCATTCATATTTTATCAAGAGTTAAGTACATTAAAAAAATTACAGTTAATTGGCCAAAACTAACAGTTACAGTACCACAAAATTACTCAAAAATAATGTAGAATTAGAATTATCCTTCCGCGGCACTGTTGTTATATTGTTACGTAAAAAAAAATAATCTTAGGTTTAAATCCTACCTTGAAGTATTCCGTAGGAGAAAACTAGGAATTGTAGATTAAATACGAAAATTGAAGCGAAGCTTCCAAAACAATAGATAAGCGCCCCCATTACTGCTACTTTCCGAAAAGACAGTTTCAGGAACAGGAAATTTGCCAGTAGACCTGTTAAAACAATAATTTTTTATTTGTCATCACTCTACATTTTCTTTTGTTGCTTTTTCTCTTTTACCTGTGGCGTAAAAGGAAGTACTGAAAACTGAATAGACAGTTGTTGTTGCGCTTATTTCATCGTAAAATGTGGATAGATAAGGCCCAAATATTAGCGCAAATGAAGATATGGGCACTACGGTAAACCCCTTAAAAAAATTAGTTATAATGTAATGTTAATTAGCCAAGTAATTGAATTTTCATATTATTTGTTTAGTAACTTCTTACCACCATAAGAATACCTCCAATATTTAATATGTGACCCCATCCTCCGTCTGGTGCTATCAATTCATACTTTACATCATTTTTCATTTTTAATGAGCTCATGTACTATTAAAAATTATTGAAAAAAAAATGTTTTCCCCGCTCATTAGATAGTTTCAATCTTTTTTTATTTCATTTTACCGTTTTATAAAACTTTTATAAAATACGATAATTTTACAATAATTCTTTTTGGTTTGTCTAAAAAAGAAGAACAAATATTAGTAGATAAAACTAATGATACTGTCCTATCTGCAATTCGAAACATTTATATTTTAAACTCATAATAATCATCATAGGTATCGCATTCTTATAAACAGTTTAGTAAAAATTAAATTGAACTGATAAATGCACATTGCATTATTTACGACTTAAATACATACATTATAAATATTTTATTTAAATTAAACATAAATTTGACGGTTTTTTGTTTTTTCCGATTATTATGAATAATTGAATTAACATTAGAAGGGAAATTCGTTGAAACAATTGGATAAAGGGATATAAACACATACATACCCTTAATTTGTAGTTTATTAACGTTTCATCCAAACATCCGTAAACAATATAAACAAACTGCTTTAAAAGTTACAATACTATTGTAATGTGCGCTAAAGCTTCCAATGTCAAATACTGATTCAGATTAACTTACGATTAGTGGAAGAAGGTGGGGCATAGTAATCAGCCCGGGCATAATACAAGTGGATATGTATACAGGAACTTTTTTCGAAATAGTTTTTGTGTACTATCTATTTTGAACATGTCCATATGGATATTAAACTTTATATAAGCAAAATATAATTCTAAGGCTTGTATTTTATTTGTCAGCATTTTAATCCCTTTTGGACAGTATTTAAATGTTAAGTAGGGTGGGTATTTTAATCATATGGTCAGTATATTTTGGCGGTCACTATTTAAATATAAGAGGTGGTCAGTAGATTTTGCGATGCAAGTGGTCTAACTAATTTAAAGTTCCGTAAGTAATTAATATACTGATTAATTAATCTATGTATTAACTTAGTTAACTGTGGTTAATATGAAATATTAATGTGAAAATTCATTGGCTTTACGCATCATCACTACCAAAGGTCCCGGGCTCGAGTGTGACAACACCAACACAAAAAATTTATTTAATAATTAATTTAAGGTAGTTAGTAGTAAATAAAAATTCGAAAATGAATTTTCATATTAGTATGTATTAACTGTTTACTGTTATTGTACTGATCCTTTAATATTTTTATACTGAATATTTAACTAAACATCGAAT